CCATGCATAACTGAGATCTGGGTCCGGAATGGTGAAAATGTGCGATTTCAATGCATTTTCGGCCTTAAAGCGGCCGCCATTTGGCTATCGTTAATGGGATCATGAAACAAATGCACATACATATTTGTGACATGATGTACCTTGTGTGTGTGAAGTTTGAACTTGATCAATCCAGACATGTCTCTGATACGGATCCAGAACTGAATTCTTTAAAACAAAATGGCCGCCAGTCGGCCATTTCGAACTTGATCCGAAAAAAAAAATGACGTGCATCAAGGTCCTATTATGTTTAATGTATGTACCAAATTTGAACGAAATCCGTCCATGCATAACTGAGATCCGGGTCCGGAATGGTGAAAATGTGCCATTTTGATGCATTTTCGGCCTTAAAATGGCCGCTATTCGGCTATCGTTAATCAGATCATGAAAAAAATGCATGTGCATATGTCCCATATAATGTGTGATGTATGAGTGAAGTTTGAACATAATCGGTCCATGCATGTTCGAGATACAGGTGATCACGGACGCACGGACGCACGGACGGACGCACACAGGGCAAAACATAAGTCCCCGTTTTCGGACTCCGTCCGAACGGGGACTAATTAAACTCATTGCCAACTGAAAGCCTCCATATATAGCTAATATAAATGATACATTGTATACTGTAAACGGGTTAATAATTTACTGGGTTTCAATTTTGCTTATTTCACTGACTGGAAAATGTTCTAAATTAAAACCCAGTGAATATGTAAAATTCAGTATAGAACACATTATCTAAATGATAAAACAGTGAATTTAAACCCCACTGAATATGCCTAAAATGGTAAATCAGCGAAATTTTAACCCTGTGAAAATTAGTCATTTCACAGTAACATTAGCTGGTGATGCATTAACACAGAAATCTTTAACCAGTCAACCTAACTTTTGCTCATTAAACAGTAATTTATGCATGAATCAGGTTAATTAATCAATGCTGTCATGATGTTGACTTGTGTGTGAAGGTGAATGCATGCTCAATATATTACAGAAATTTTTTTTTATATTATTTATTTACTTAATGCTACTTCCAGGGATCTCGCCATGCTGGTCGGCGGTGGTCGGCCCCGACCGGCACTCAAAATTAGCGACCACCACGGAAATGCTTCCGACCAGAACTATTGTCCGATTGTTATTATAATTATGTACCGATCGACACGCATCCTGCCAGTCGTGGATTATAATTTGTAAACAATAGACCTAGTCGCACGATACGTAGCGGCTAGTCAATTTTGTGAAATTAGCACCTCTTTGTAAGTAAATA